AGCCCTATTCCATGTATAGAGTCCCAAGARATGCCCAATGTTTCTTCCTGTGTTCTGCCTCCATTCTTGATCATTCTTCAATCGTGATTAGGCAGGAGGAGAGTTTTCTCAGAGAATGCACCTCTGTTRTTGCACTTGGCTCCAGGAGAGATTTCACATCTGTCACCACAATGTCTCCCTTGTGTCCTTGCAGGGGTGCCAGAAGGGTAACATCAAGTGGGAACCCACTTTGCTCTTGATGCATAGGGTTTTGGAGTGTACTGATTGTTTAGTAATACAGGGGAGCATGTGACCTCTTCCTGTTGAAGGAAAACCCTACTCATCTCAGACTGGTTTCAGCAAGGTCTGAGCTGAAGAGGGTAGAACACTTGTGGGCCAAAGCTCTTGAGCTCTCTGTTCTGGGCAGGAGCTGGTGCATGTACGCTTTGCGTGTGTTGCTGCCTCATCGTGGCTGTTGGCAGTGGCAAACAGGAGTGGTTTTTCTGCAGCCCTTGTGAAGCAAAGAAGACCAGGAGTCTCAAAGGGGTAAGAAATCTTAAATTCCTGTTGCTATGGACACTATTACTGCATAGTCCTTATCCTCAAAGAAGAATGTCTCCTCTTGTGTGTCAGAGGGCTGATGAGCCTCTGTGCTTACCAGCCTTTCGACCTGCAATTTTCTTTTTATCTCCTGGTCTCAGCCTGCACTAGGTGACTTGGGAAGCAGCTTAGTGAAACGACAGCTTTGCTACGAGTAAGGCCAAAGCCCTTCAGTATGATTATTGTGATGTTTTCCATCTGATTACTGCCTGCTTTGGTGAAGTAATTTTGATAATGTGTGAGTCARATTGCTGGAAGTGATTGGTATTAGTAAAAAATGTTTAGCAAAGCTGTAACAATATCCAAATTCTGTTTCTAATTTGCTCTACTTTTGTAGAGTAATCTATTCAGTGACCTAGAATAAGGACATAGGTATAATTAGGTACATGTATAAAAAACATTTGTTATGTTACCTGGAAGCAGCATCTTTAAAGCTGACAGAGAAAGTGGGAATTTTCTCACTCCCAGTCACTCCCAGAACTGTGAACACAAGATTCTATCAGTGCCACAAGGCTATAAGCAGAAACTAATGAGAGCTAATTGGTGATCAGGAATACCTGGATATTGCACCAATCTTTCGGGCAGTTCTTGTGTAGCACCATGCAACAGATGATTGTGGCTGCTCATGTTTGGCAGCAGGGGTAATGATGTTACATTCTATATAAGACAGCAGTTCAACAAACTAATCTGGTAAATGCCTTAATTTATAAATATATGGGTGAAATTGGCCACTGATGTCTTATATTACCATACAAATCAAATTTGTCTTTATTTTACTACAGATGAAAATACGTATATTGCCTGTGTTTTGGTTTTGTATCCTGCCTTTGAAGTTTGGTTATTCTGGATACAACACCCATTTCAGTAAGCTTACATTGTGTTCTGTTGATCTGGCTTTTYCCCAGCCTAATGAACGTATTTGCAGAATGTATCTTTTGCTGCTTCAGAAATAAATTTGTAGTGTTTGTAAAAAGCAGCAATCTAGTTGCAGTGGATTCTTCAGAGTTGGGTGCACAGAAAGGTTCATCAAGTGTCATATTAACCTAATGCTGGGCTCTTGAGGTTTGTTTGAAGGGGTCTGCACCACCATTCTTTCTTTTTTAGTGACAGCACAAAAAGTGAGTTTGATTCCCCCTCATGTGCTGCACCTCCTCAATCTCCTGCCGCCTCACAAAAAAAAAAAAAATTCATAGATTAGCTCAGGTTATTGCTTTGCCATTGCATATGTTAAGAAACTTTTGAAGGTCTAAGGCTGATTGGAATTGCTGTCTAATTGCTACCTAATCTTGTTGCATGTGCACAAGTAAGCTCTATCTGTTCTGCCTGGGATATTCAGGGGTGCTGTCCATGATATCAGACTATTTGTAGGACAATACGAAGGGATGTCACTCCCAGACACTGCCAACAAAATGTCTGAACAAGATTGGATCACCTCCAGATTAGATTTTCCCTGAAATTCTGCKTATGATCCTGGACATGGATTTGTCAATGCTCTGAGGAATTGCCTAGCAATATCTGTTACTTTCTACCTTACCTGTAAAAGGGAAGGCCTGGAAAAATCTTTYCTGCTCACTGCCCATGGCTTGCTGCTGTGATTTACCTCCAGCTGGCAYCTCAGATCTATGCAGCTGCTCACTCACCCCTGGTGGGATGGGGCTGAGAATTGTGAAGGTAAAAGTCAGAAAATTCATGGGTTGAGATAAAGACAATATAAAGGTAAAGCAAAACCTGCATGCACAAGTGAAGCAAAACGAGGAATTTATTCAGGGAACTTCCCYTGGGTAGGCAGGTGTTCAGCCATCTCCAGCRAAGAGAAGCYTCTAAAATGGCCTATTTAAGGCAGTTGTATATCCACAATTTTGCTATGTGATGCCTGACAGAACATAAGTAGTTTCTGAAATCAGTGCTTGCTTCAGCTGTTATCCGTCTTGGTTTTGTCTCTCTTTAGTTTCTGCATCTACCCCTTTAAGTTAGTGTACTTTGCTGTCATCAGAAACTGTTAACTGCTTTCCTTTGATAGAAATCTCAATGGCTATTTAGTTGAATTATTTGTTGAGAGATCCTTTGCAGTCCGCAAGTTAAACTAAAAGCAACTCTGGATTGCCTGAGGTGAACTTTAAAAGACATTCTCAGTCAGAGTTTTTACTGTAAGTGGAACTAAAGAGAAGGGAGTGTTTGTTTAGAGAATGAGCTGGATGTACAGGTTTTCTTGCCCACTGCAAGTGTTTGCCATGAGTATATGTGATGAAAACAGGAAAAAAAATAAAATTAGTAATGTTAAAAGTAATAATAGTAATATTACTAGGAAAATGCATCTCTTGTAGCATATGAGAATAATTACAAGCTACAAAGAAGATCAGGAGCATCTTGATAAAACTGGATATTCTATTTCAAAGAAAAAGCATGATACTGGGAATATTGGTTTTTAGGATTATTTTTAAAAAGGCCACAWCCTGTATTATCTTAGTGCCCCTCCAAAGCATCTCTTATAAGCTGGGCATACTTAGAGACTTAGTAATGATAGCAAGGCACAGTTGTTTCCCTACCAGAATTATTGAAACTCATTGTAGTCACATTCCTGGGACTTGTACTTTTTGCTTGTAAGGAAGGTTTCATGTGTGAAAATAGTGTCAACTGCCATYTCTCACTGGCAGACACATTCATCTTACTAAATCTTCATTTGCAGATAATTTCTTACTTTCAAATATTATGCAAAAATGACATAATTGGGTTTTGGTTAGTATTTTTCTGTAGTGAGTCATTTAGAAGAGAAATGCATCACCGAAATAGAACTGTGGTGGTAAAAGAAGGGCTTTGACCAGCACATGGTGTAAGCCCTATGAGAGAAACCTTGATTGGCTTTTCAGAGAAAGTAAGCCATTGCAATTTCATCTTCATGAAYGCATTTGTAGCTTAAAAGGAGCTTAAACTTTAAGCCTCACTWACAATTTACTTGGAAACAGCTCCGCACTGCATGGGGCTTTTTTCAGTCTGGTGTGGGTTATCTGCAAGCCTCTTCCCCTACATCTCACTACTAGTAGTAATCCCATTAGATGATTATAATTGGTGTCCTCAACAGACAGATATAGTCATAATTGAAAAAAAAGAACTTCAAGTGTCTTTAATTAACTGTGGGGTCATTTTATTACTGTAGACTCTTKTATCATATAACTTTGCCTTCAGTGAAATGCAGTTATGGCCTGGGGCTGTGTAACTGTTATGATCCCAAGAGTGGGAAATCTTTATGCTTGCATGAAAGTGCACCAGTTTGTTTTCAGTAGTGGGCAGAATTGGCCTTTAGAAAAGAAATATCTTTATTTTCATACARCTTTCTAATCTTGTTGGCTAACAATAGCTATCTTTGTCTGGTGAGGGGTGATTATGTACCATTGAGTTCTCTGTTTTCATGGGAGGAGAGGGAATGGTGTTGAGAGGGAAAGAGCTGACTTGGTTACCCACGCAGATGGACACTTAGTGAGAAGGTTTAAAACCTTCTGCTTCTACAGAGCTGTCTTTGGAATGAAACCCTAGCACCAGAAAAGCTGAAGCGTGTTCACCAAGAGCGGGTCTAGATTTGTCCAAGTGCATGAACRCTGCTCATAGCTTATTGCAAATGCAAATAGAAGTTCATAAATAGTAACTGAGCTCATGTGCTCTCCTTGAGCTGGAGATAGCAGGGGAAGGTGTCCATTGTGGATATAGCTGTGTTTTTGAAATCTTCAGTGTATTGTTAAATGCAAGCTGCACAGATTCACAGTGACTCTGGCAGAGAGGTGTGCTGGGCTTTCCAGCCTGCACATACAAAATACACAGAATATTAGCGTACCAAACACTGAATCTGGTGCACTAACAAGACAATAGTGCTGTGTTTATAGGCTGTGTTGGCCAGGATGATCAGTTCTACATCTTTCTGCAGTTTGAAAGTCTTGTATGTTTGTACCCAGCACTCTGATAACACAGGAGACTGTGGTGTTAGAACTTGAGAACAGGTATTGTTTCGGAGTTTGCATACAGGGGAAAAAGGCTGAAAACAGTTATGTCTGCTTAACAAACTTTAATAACTAACTGCTAAAGAAAACTGCTATTTCACTGCTGGCTAAAMGATATAGAACATCTGACTAAAATGTAAGCATCTGAATGGAAAATACAGATTCAGAGAAGGATTATACAGTCGAATCTGAAGCATGGAGAAAGCTGCCACTGAAGAAATGCTGGTTTGTGACATTTTGCSATCAGTGTATTACCTAAATAAGGTTTCATTTAGCATTGTTTCCTGAAGGGTCACTAAATGTGTGGTATCAAAATTAGGTCTTTTCCTTGATTGAAARGATCTTTCCTCAGCTGAGGTCTGCCCCAAGGTGAAATGGACGAGATGTCATGCATTTACAGGAAGRAGAAATAAACAGTGGGGCAGTGAGATCTATGAGGTATGTCCCGTGTSAAGTTGAACTCCATGCCCCATCTTGCACTTGGCAGTCATTTCGTTGTCTCTTCCCAAGGTCCTTCTGCTGCCCATGGTTAGTTTTGCAGAGAAAGGGAGGAAGACTGTAGTAGCYAGCTGGAAAATGTGAAACATCTTGTTATCCCTCAGCATCCTTCTCTGTCAAAACATGGCAGAGCACAAATAGGACACCCCTGCCGAGGTGCTGCTATTAAACAGGTATTGCTTTCTAAGCGGGTATCACAGTGGGTGGGGGAACCTCCAAAACACAGAAAAGTAACAAGCGTAGATTTGATTCCTTGTAGGCTTCACCTGGGTGATTATCATCACAGCAAACTAGTCACAGTGAGAAAACAGCAAWAAGATTTTACAGCTTCTTTTTGGACTGGCTTCTTGTTTTCTGCACTTAGGCATGAGGTGTTCCCTACTCCCAGCCCAGGGTGCCCTGGACCTGTGCCCATCACAGCAAGTTTCAAGTCCCAAGTAAAATTCTGCTTTGGTTTATGAACTCTGGTGCACTCTGCTCAGTTCAGGTTCTTGATATTCTTCTGTGCTGATTCCTGTTTTTCTTGTTACAAGCTTTCAAGTGCTTCTGAGGTACCAGCGTGTTACGGATTGATGAACTGACAATCCAAGCTTTAATCCACACTGCTTCTTTAGCCTTATACTTGATGATGGAAGAGCCAAAGAAACAGCTCAACCAGATAGAAAGACCCATCAAATAACTCACATTTTGTAATGAGTGTGTTTCTCTGAAGCAATAAGATTATGTGGATCAGCTGGTGTGCTTTGTGTCTGGTGAAAAGAAGCTTATTTAAATTAAGAGAGCCAGGAAATCTGTGTCTCAGTCCAGAAGGAAGATGGGTTCCACAGAAGACCTTGACTATCCTGAAATCATTGTGCACTACAGCAATGGATTTTTAATCTCAAAGGTAAGAAATATAACTCAGGAAGAGTATACAGACAGAAATATTCAGGTATTTCTCTTTAGGTCCTGAATATAAGTCTTTGGAAGAGGTGAAAGCAACAGTCTGGAATAAAATAATGACTGTTTTTCCAAACWGCATATTTTTAAGGCACAAAGGTAACACTAGTAATTCCGCTCTCCTTATTGTTTACYGATGTTATTTGCTTAAGCACATGGGCATAAAATTACAGTATCCTTTGCAGTGGAAGGCTTTTGCCTCTTTTACTATTTAGTTTCATATTGTCCCTTGCTGCACCTCTGGCCAACATGGTAACAGGAGGAATGTCCTTGGGTTGTGCTGCTACTGCAGCTGCTGCACCTTAGGGCTCCTGAAAGGCAGAGCTGACAATAAAGAGGAAAAATAGATAACGAAAAATCACTTCATGAGAAAAAGAAGTGTCCAATGCTTTCCAAATTAACACTGGTAATATTATGTTTTTGAGAAACAATTTCAACTTTGACTAAGCCATRTTCTTACTCGACGYAAAAGGAGCTTCWTTGCACAGTAATCATTGTRGATCAAATCATTGTATATAYAGGCAGTCAATTGAATTGATACAGGCAGTCARTTGAATTGATGCCTTTTTTACTGTTTCAGGAGTGTTTATGTRACCAGAGTATAAGGCAAATGCTTGTGAAGTTGWCTGTATATAGCTAAAGAAGGAGTTGGAGTTTTTTAATATATGGTTAGCTATGTCTCTCTGAAGGTTGAAGGATGTCACTGGAAAAGTTCCACACCTTTTCCATGGAAGACTGGGCAATTTTGCTGACTTGAATGAAAYAGTTCTTCTGGATGGGAGAAAACTCTCTGCTTCTGGAAGACCACTGTAGTCTTTCACATCAGTCCCTGAAAACAAGGTCCATAGAATGGGATATTCCCCTATTGCAGGTCATGAGAGACTGTCCAAGGTTTACCAAAGCATGTGTTAGATCCTTAGTTAAAGAACAGAAACATAAATGGAGAACAAGCACCACCACCCAGTCTTGCTTTTGCTCTTTCCACCAGATTGTGAGAATGTGCTCCTAAACTAAGGAAGAGGCAGGAACATTTACACACAAAACCTTGTCTCTATATGTGGAGTCTTGGAAGCCAAAAAGCATTGGCTTGTTTCACTGGGAAAGGAAATAAAAAGAAGAACAAAGAGTACATTGTATGCATAGCACATTATATCAGTGCTCAGATAAACAAAAATTTATTCAGTGGACTTGTTTATATGAAATACAATATCTGAAAAAAAATATCATTATGTATGTATTTTCTCTAATTAAGCAGCTTGYGAAATGCAGTAGGCTTTAGTGCTTTCAACTTATCCCTCAGTCCCACCTTTSCCTACCCCAGGTTATGTTCACTGCCTGTGAGTTGGGGGTGTTTGATCTTCTTCTGGAGTCAGGAAAGCCTCTGTCTTCAGATGCCATTGCTGCATGTCTGGGTGCCAGCACCATGGGGATGGAAAGACTGCTGGATGCCTGTGTGGGACTGAAGCTCTTGGCAGCAGAGATGACACAAGAAGGAGGTAATGAGGGCAGAGGAACGGGAATAAACTAAAAGACTTAGACCTGTGATGGTTTTGAAAGTGAGGTAAGATGTGTGGGCAAAGGGATAACAAATGTTAAGTCAGTTAATGTAGTTGGAAGAAGGAGAGAATCACTCTTGGGATTCACTCTTCAGTTGAAAGAGAAGAGGCAGAGGTCAGCATGATCACAGGTATAAAGTGAACCACAGGTGCAGGGCTCTATATCCCTAAATTTCTTTGTGCAAGAGCCTCATGTGACCTTGGAGAAGATATTCAGGATCTCTGCAGAGCTGGTCTCAAGAGATCTCTGGGGTATGGGCAAGATTTTAAACCTTAAAACAAAATGCCAGGGTGGATGGGTGACAGCATGATTTAAAAGCAGGTTTTGTTTTCCTTTGGGTTTTTACCATCATGTGAACAATTTTGTTAGGCTGTTGATCAGAACTGAGATGTGATGTAAGTTTCCTTAAATCAGAAACATGGAGTCCACTTGGACAGAAAGGATCTCTGGCTGTCAGACAGCTGGTCATAACCAGTTAGAGTYTCACAAGAGTCTCTGTTTTAGGGATTATATCTGCTGCCCAATGGGTTTCGGGAGAGCAGGATCTATCTTTTATATTCCTTTAGTATGCCAGTCCTGTGAGTGAGTGATGCCCCTGCAGTTGCATTGGAGGGAGTAGGGGAGATTTCTGGAAATCCTTTAGGTATTCTGTCTGCAGAAGTTCCTGCCCACATGAACTGAGAGAAGGTAGGTGTGGCTGGCCTGCTGTTTTGGGGACTTGTCCCCCACCTGTAGACCTTGTTGATCAGAAAAAAAAAAAAAGTCTGCAAAGGCTTCTCATTTAAATGGAGCATGCTGAAAGCTTCCTCTAAGAGTAGAAGCCTATATATAAATTATAACACTAGTAAGACATTTATTTGCTCTTTTTGAAAGAAATGTTTGGTGCTGTGGTTAAGCATTGGGAGTTTTTACTCAGATTGAATAGGGCAACACAGATTTCAGGAGCCCTCACCCACTGCTCATTGCAGYRGAAGGATTTGGTTGTAGAAGTAATKTGATWGTGCCTTCGGTTGCATAGGCATCTTCTGGTGATAAACACCAAACTGTGCAATAAACAAGGTGTTATGTATGTTAGTAAATATATCTATTCTACCCTTTAGTCCTCTACAGAAACACAGAAATTTCCAACATCTACCTTACAAAATCAAGTCCAAAGTCTCAGTATCATATCATGATGTATTATTCCAACACAGTCTACTTGTGCTGGCAGTACCTGGCTGATGCTGTGAGGTAAGGAGGAGTGTTGTGTTTTGTCTGTTGTTTTACAGCATCTGTGTCGCTGCCCTGAGTGGTGTGTTTTGGAGGAAGAGCTCAATAAAGATGATGGCTGGTTTTCAGAAATTAAAATCAACAGATAATTCAGCTCAACATGACCAATATGTGCACTTTTTCCCATTTGTGTATGTTCTTGTTTTCCTTTCCCTGTCATTATAGAGATGATCTGGAAATCAGATTTTTTTTATGTTTCACCTTCAGTAAAGCACTTCATCATTACAGTGGCTCCTACAGAACATGGCAACAACAAAGTAAATAATGAATAATGGTGGCTAAGGRTACTTCTGTTGCAAAGGTTTGTAGGAGCAGTTTAATCAGGGTCTGGAGTCTCACTTGTTCCATTCTATGCAACTGGTGACCAAACATGGTGTAGATGATGGTGGTGATTGCACCAATCTTGTACCTTTACCTTAGATGTGTTCCCATAAATCACAGAATCCTAGAATGMTTTGGRTTGGAARATGCTTTAAAGATCATCTGATTCCAGCCTTCCTACCATGAATTCACATTTTCAAATATCAGGTTTTTCAAAGTGCCATCCAAACCTGACCTAGGAAAGAACCAGTCATTCTTGTGAAAGGTTGACAAATATATCAGCAATCTCACAGGCTTTTAAAATTGCTATTTTAGAGAAGGAAGAAACCAATATGAAAGAGCTTTTGGCATTTCMCCTAAAGACCCTTTTGGAGCAATGTACAGGTAATCATTAGAATATTTATAGAAATTTTGTTATTCTTGTTGTGGCTAAAACTATGTTTTTAATTATGGCTCAGGACAATTAAATCTGATGATGTGAGAATTCCTCTCATCAGTGTCATGCAATGTTTTTCTTTCTCAACAATATCAACTAGTGGGACACTGTCTGATATTTTAAATAGARGTATATAATTTCTTAATCTGAAAAAACATCACAGATCTCTGATAGAGGTAATGGTAGTTGGTAATGGGCAATTTTGGCAATGAGCAACATAATACACTGTTGGATTTCACTAACCATAATTTCCTATTTAAATGCATGAGTTCATAGCTGTACCCTCCTCCTCCAGTAGCACTCAAGGTAGGTTTATATGCAAARAGGACATATTCTGTGTCAGTAAAACCAGAGATTATTGTTTAAACTAAAGCATGTAGTAGCAGTTATATGATAGGAACCACTGGGGATGTGGTAAGGAACCTTCTCTGTGTGCTCTGTCTGTTGTTATTGCTAGATCAGATGAGGAAATGCTAAAATTCATGGCTGGCCAGAACTCAGTGTGGAGTATATGTGGCAGAGATGTTCTTGCTGCATTCGACCTTTCCCCCTTCATGCAGATCTGTGACCTGGGAGGTGAGTGTCAGAAGGTCTTCTTTAACAAGCCTCTGAACTGTCTTTTGTAAGATCTTTTCTGTAAAGAAAAGCAACTCCTGTGTTATATGATGGGCAAAACAATGGAAAGCAGGACATCTCTCAGCAATATAAAGAACGTTTTGCTGATTTGGTTTTGGGTTAAAAACAGAAATGTGAGAGAAATGAGAGCATTAGGAAGTGGAATGCTTTTCTCTACAATCTCATTTATGTGAATAGTCACTCATCCCCTTGTGGATGTGGCAGCTTTAGCACTTTTTCATGCCTTGCTTGATGCATTCTTGCAGTGCTAGACTCTTTCCTTCCTCCCCTTCAGTCACTGTTGTTGAGGTCCTGTCTATGGTCTCTTATCCTGCAGCTCCCAGCACTGCTGAGTGCTGCCAGGATTCAGAGGATGAGGCAGGCTCCTTCCTGGCCTCCCTCACTTCTTCTCCTGAGCCTGGTTTGGTGACTGTTTTACATTTTTCACCTTCCAGCACCCAGAGCTGGGTCTGGAGGGAGCAGAGGAGCTGTAAGGGTTGACCCAACAGACCCAGGTGGGACTGGACCTTCCTGTACAACACATGGACACAGTGGCCTCTCCTGCTTCTCTTCTTCCCTCTCAGCAGCTCAYGGGGTGCAAATGTACATTGCCAGCTCCATGAGGCTGAATGCACCATTGCCTACATGGTTTCATGGGGATGTTGCTGAACAGGTTGGTTTTGTGTCAGTGCTGACTTTCTTTTACTGTCCCCAAAGGAGGCGGAGGAGCTTTGGCCCGAGAGTGTGTTTCTTTGTACCCAAATTCTACTGTCACAATTTATGACCTGCCCAAAGTTGTGCAAGTGGCCAAAGAGCAATTTGTTTCCCCTGAGGAGCRCCAGATCGCTTTCCATGAAGGTGGGTGTGACAGAGGTGTGATGCTGACACAGCTGCTGCTCAGAGCCCTTTGGCCCTGTCTCCCCTTCTGGGGACAGTGTCTGCAGCTGCAGCCTCCCCAGCCCAGGTCTGCTGCTGTCCCAGTTGTCCATCTGCAGCTATCAGAGACACAACTCAGTTATTCAGCAACAAGAACAACAGAAATTCTTTATTCCTGAACAGAACTATTTGATTTTTCAGAACATGGGTACATTAGCAAAAAAAAAAAAAAAAATTAAAAAAAAATTAGAAAAAAAAAAAAAGAAAAAGAAAAGAAAAGAACAGAAGCATCCTGCAATTTTGAAATCTGCCAAGCTTTGTTATAAATTTTCCTAACACACCTCTTTTCTCCTGTGCAAACCACCTGGCAGATGTGAGGGATGCCAGGTCTGCTCTGAACAAGGGGTTTGACTTCTCTGCTCACAACTGATTGACTTTCAAGTCCTAAGATATTTTAGACCATGAAAGTGGATGAGCTAGCTCATGTTCCTCTTGCCCAGGCCACTAATCCTGCAGAGTCTTTGTACCATATATGATGAAAATGAGTGTAGGGAGATCACTTTTTTAATGTTTACAGAGGTCTTCAAAGTGCTGGAATTGCTTATTTTCTCCAAGCTCAGAAAGAGAAAAAAACCTTGAGGAGAGAAGGGAGTATATAAAAACAAAGATGCAACAAAATGGGAAAAGAAATGACAAAGTAAMATGCTGAGAGACAAAACTGAATGCAGTACATGAGATGCTAAACAAAAGGCATGACAAAGCTATTGCTAGGAGGTGAGAGATGTGTATTTTTAATTACAGGTTTATGAAGTAACTTAGTGATTACYGAAGATCTTTGAAAATTTTCTTAGATATTCTTTCTTTCCTTTTCATGACAGAAACCATATGAACCTATCTCCTTAGTGCTTTATGAATCTGAATTTTAGTCACTGGAGAAAACCTAAACTCAAATGCTTTCCTATGCATCAAAGGCTGTTTCAGGATGAGTTACTGCCTTTAAATGTTTCAGATCTTCTTGAGACTGAACAAGAGCAAAATTMCCCATGCGGTGCAATAGAGAACTTTTACCTGATAACTCCATTGCTGTCTGACACATGCAAAGGACATAGCAAGCCCAGAAAACAGAACTGAAAATATTTGCATAACTCAGCTCTCTGTATTGTGAGGATTTGTATAATGCATATGTTATTGCTTTACAGGAGACTTTTTTAACGATTCAATTCCTGAAGCTGATTTGTATATTTTATCCAAGATACTGCATGATTGGGATGATGACAAATGTAAACAGCTACTGGCAAAAGTCTMCAAAGCATGCAAACCTGGTATGTGTGAACTCTTGAAGAGCAGAGAGACTCTCACCTGTCAGTAAAGTGAAACTCTGCAGTCTTGATGCTCAGTTTGGGGGCAGAGTTTCAGTGTGGGAGTTTCTTGGTTTAGTCCTTTGCTTTCCTCAGCCAGCCAAATGCAGCTGAGACAAAAAGCACCTGGACTAAGATCTCTTTGTATGGCTTCCAGTTTTTGTCTCCTTCTCTGAAGGGACTCCTCTTTCAAGGCATAAAGTGTGAGGATTGAGGATTTGGGGTATTGTTTAGATAAGTGTATATATCATAATAAAAAATCACATTAAGTACCACAATGAACCCTCGGCGTTTCAAAAATGCTGCATASAGAGTCAGATTCTGAGCAAAATCGGTAAGGTCCTCTGTATTTCAGCTGTGGAAAATGGGAAATTTCCATCCCAGCCATRGCACCCCCTTCAACTCTGGGATATCAGTACCTACCTAGCTAAGCAGAGATGTGCTCCAATGCTTTGCTATTTTATTGTCTTCTGTGATGCTGAAATATGACCAAACATAGAAGCTGCTTCTTCTTGAAAGTAGAGGTTAGGATCTGTCCCAATAACAGCTCAAAAATAGCTCAACTGTTCATTGCTCCGGGTGTGTTTTCTTTCTCTTATCTCCACCAGGTGGTGGAGTGCTGCTGGTTGAATCGCTTCTGAATGAAGATAAAAGTGGCCCTGTAGAAACCCAATTGTATTCGATGAATATGTTGGTCCAGACAGAAGGGAAAGAACGAACAGCAGCAGAGTAYAGCAAACTCCTGGAGGCAGCTGGCTTTGGAGTGATTCAAGTCAGGAGGACTGGAAAACTCTATGATGCTGTTTTAGGAAGGAAATAGTTGGGCATGTTTTGTGCATGTAACAAGACAGAAAAAGTGGAGAAATGTGCTATTCTATTCTTATGAAGGAATTATCAACTTAGGTTTTAGTTAAGGCTGACAACTCCTTTGTAAGCTGATACATTGTGAGAAGAATCACTAATAACATATCTTGAGCATGCACGTATTGAGAATCTGGGAGCCTGGCTAGGCTTGCCTTTGGATTGGGAGGGCAAGAGAGAAATCAACACCTGCTCCACAAGAAACAATCCACAAAAGTAATGTGCAGTGTGTCTGCTTCAGCTTGTATCAGTCTCTGATTTTAACAGTCTGTCTGACAAAAGCAGTACTGAGCTCTCTTGCCTGCATTTTTATTCCTGAGGTATTGATATAATAAAACCAGACCAAATTACGTCTCCTTGTGGTCTTTTCAGTGTTCCAGGAAAAATCTTGTCTGAACCTTGGGGAGTTTTGCAAGAAAAAATTATGCTAATTTTTTATTTCCTCTAGACTTTGGTTTAAATTATGAAAAAGAGTGTTGCACCTTAGTGACTGGTTGAAGCCCAGGGATTCTTATTACAGAACAAGTTGGAATATTATGCAGCCAAGTCATTCTGCTGTGCACTGGGGTAGTCCCTACTGCTTGCCTCCTGCTATTTCTTTAAATAATTTGATCAGACACGGTCTGCCATTACCCACTCAGTTCTTGGAAGCAGAATAACATATTACTGAATTGAGAAACATTTGGAGAAGGCAGTAGAAAGTCACTCTGCAGTTGTTTCTTGAGCAGTAATTGATGTGCCCATTAAGCTGGGTACTAGAAGAGCTTGAGCCAGTTTGCTCAGTACCATCTAGAGGAGYCTCCCACTCCTGTGACTGTAGGAGGATAGGGAGAAAGCAGCCTCAGTACAGACAGAGACACAGGCTTTAATATCACCACAGTTACAGAGACACGCTGGGACAGCTTGTGTGATTGGAATGCTGGGTTTTGGGGAGATAGATTTTTTTTATTATTATTTCTAAATAACAAGCACTGTGAGGAGAACCCGAAACAAGTGCTTTGCTGTATACAGGTGAATTAAAACCCTGTTTGTTCCTATAGTTTCCATGTTCCAACARTAATTTCTGATGACATCTTGCTATTTATAAGGTCTCTTGTCTGTGTTTTTTGCTTGTTATTGGATATGGTAACTTTAAAAAAACTTRTGTAGGAACAAAGGGAATAAGGTGGAGGTTTCCAAGTTACTCGTGTTTGGGTAATGAAAGCCATTCCCAAGTTCACGCCCTTTAATGGTGTTGCAGTGGGAGATTTTCTGTTTGATGCAGAAAGCTCTATAAATAGAACTCTTTCCCCCTTTCACAGTTTTCATCATATAGATTCAAAGAAATTTTTTAGCTCCAATATGACTTCAGAGTAATGAATGAAACCTGGCCATAGCTGRGGAGAATCAGCCCAGAGCAGAAGAATGCACCAGGCAGGAAGCAGCTCGTGAGCTGAGACTGGCTGTGCTTGGCTTGAGTCAGGGCAGCTGCTCCCAAGGCYTCTCTGGGAGGATGGAAATGTCCAACAGAGCCTTGGCCTGATGGCCTGGGAATTACATGAAGCAGCAGAGGGCAGGGAAAGCCGGGAAATTTGCCTTCTGAGCATGCTAACTGGAAGCTGGTGGCTGCTGCCTTTCAGGACTTGCTGGTAGCCAGGGGTCATTGAAAAGGAACAGCCTTGAGCACTCAGAAAAAGCWGCTTCATATGTAACAAAAGAAATAGTACCTAAGAAAGGAAAAAAAACAGGGGAGGGCCAGAGTAAGGACCCCCTGCTTAGAAAGATGACTGCCCCAATGCAGCAGGATCAGGCAGAGGCTGGGAGATGCTGCCTAGAAACATCTTGCCAAAGGAGACCTCAAATGGAGGGCAGAAGAGTGGGAAATTGTCCCTTGGGAGCTGTGGTTGTAGAAGCACTGCAGGACAGTGGGAATCTGGCTCCAGGCTCCCTGCTGGCTCCAAGGTTCAGCTCTCCCTTCTGCCACTGGCCTGCTCCAGAGAACCCTTGGGGCATCGGGGACCTGTCCCCAGGTTGTCCTGAACTGTGTGTGTTTCTATAAATGTGCTGATTTCCCCCCCTAATTTCTCCACAGGTCTCCCTCCTAATGTTTTAGCCCTTCAAAAAAGCCATATTGCAGACCAGCTTGGTGTAGGGGAAGGGCAACATTTTGCAKGCAGCACTCTCAGGGTTATGGAGAATGCTCTATGCTGAAGGCAGGGGTGCTTTCTGCAGCAAAGGGCTTGATAAAATAACTGTTTTAATAAGAAAGAAGAGGTATATAGAAATCGGGGAAATCTTGATGCTGCTTCAGATGCTGGGCACCTAAGTCCATACAGCATGGGATGGAACCCAGTTGGATTTTCTTACAGTACTTTGTACAGACACTGGGTCGTTTGAGTTACAATTTCCTTACAAGAAAAGGACCGTTCTCACAATAATTTGTTGCTTCACTGTCAAAGGCAAGGCTGTGCAGGTGGTGCAATCACTGGCACCGAGTGGGAGTTGCCTGAGCCCCTCCTGAAGCTGAGGGACATTTYTGTGGCACAGCACAGCCCTGAGAATGCCCTGGACATGCAGCATGGGCAGCTGCCATGAGGGCACTGATTCCTGGATGTAAAACGGGCTCCCTTTCAGAATCAATGCATTCCACCCCTTGGTCCACATGCAGCTTACCTTCCCCAAATATTTTATGAATTACAGGATACCTTAATAGTTTCTCAGGCCCTAAGAACGARGCCCAGCAGAGCAGATGTGGCCTGTCCAGGACACTGACTCCCTGAGCACAATGTCTTCTGCAAGGCTGCCAGCAGAGCAGCCTTTTCTGAAGAGGTGGGTGTTCTCACACCGTGCCTCTGAAAGGGTGTAATATACGTGTCCAGGCTTGCTGAAAGCAATTTCRTTGTTACAGGGTGAAACAGATCTTTTAAAATAGGAAATATGTCTTTGTGTTACATATTAGTGCAATCAGGCTGTCAGGAGCTGACCTAAAGCACATAAAACTTACTGGTTCTTTCCAATATCTCGGTATGAGTTTGGAGAATGACTTAAGACTCTTGTTGTTAGAAGGGTACATATTATGTCTTTGTTCTGTGCTGTATCTCGTACCTTTAAAAGAGGCAATKCTTTTTTGGAATGGAATACAGTCTTCGACCCATAAACCATTTGGGTGATAAACGAAGCAGTGCCTGTGGTGTGCATTGCTGATTTCTTCTTTCAGCATTTGTGGTATAAGAGGAAGACTGCAGGTCCAGGCTGTGATAGGAATGCTAAAGATGCCATAGAGTGACAAAACTGTTCACCTCTCACTTCTTATTAGGAACACTTAAAAAGTTAAAAATGGTTGTCTTGTTAAATGCAAGCTGCTCAGATTCTGGGCTACATTGTCCAGAATGAGGAGTTGTACATTATTCTACAGTTTGGAATTTTCTCTGACTTTTGCATGTTTAGGCCCAGTATTATGGTAACACAGGAGACCCTGTAGTGATAGAAGCTGRGAAAAAGGTTTCTGAGTTGGATATAGTAGGACATTTTGAATGTTAAGCATATTTAGAAATGGATAATGTGAGGATACCTGAGCTTTGRGACAGATGGTTAAGGGCTCCTCAGTGTCACAGACAAAGGCAAGAGACAAAAGCAGTAATAAACCCATTCTAGGTACACAAACTAGCAAAGAGGCAATGAGAAGCACTGTGACAAATATTAGAACTCCCTGTCCCCTTAGTGGAGGACCACTAGAGGATGCCCAAAAAAGCCACAAAGAGGTTCAACCACATATTTTTAGCTGAGAAAAGGGCAGAAACAAAATTATCAAAGGGCTCATGAAAGTGAGAACATCATGGGAAGTTAAAGTGGGCTTGTGGTAATTACTGTGGGACTTGTGGGAAACTTGAAGTATTTATAGAGAAATGGCCAAAGKCAGGAAAATGGAGGAATCAAGGTGGGTGGGCAGGAACCAGCCTAGAGAAAMAGTGAAAAGGTGAGGTAAAATGTACTGATGGTGTTTTGCAAGCTGCTGTTGTGCACACCTGTCTGGCTGAGTTGCATACCAAATCAATAAGGTTTTCTTCTTATTAAACAACATCCCTCGCTATCTTCTGTTTCTTTTTGTGAAGCCTTCCCAGATCAAAAGCAGGCTCGATGGAGTAGATTTGCTTTTGAACAAGCCTCAAGTAAGATTYGTCTTTGGTTTATGAACTCTGGTGCATTGTGCTCCGTTCAGGTTCTTGATATTCTCCTGTACTGATTCCTGTTTTTCTTGTTRCAAGCTTTCAAGTGCTTCTGAAGTACCAGCGTGTTGCTGAGTGATGAACTGACAATCCAAGCTTTAATCCACACTGCTTCTTTAGCCTTATGCCTGATGATGGAAGAAACAGCTGAACTTGATAGAAAAACACATCAAAGCCAAATAACTCAGCTAACAYGTTTTGTAACCAGTGTGTTTCTCWGAAGCAATAAGATTATGTGGATCAGCTGSTGTGCTCTGTGTCTGGTAAAAAGAAGCTTATTTAAATTAAGAGAGCCAGGAAATCTGTGTCTCATCCAGAAAGATGAATTTGACAGAAAACCTTGACTATYCTCAAATCATTATGCAATACATCAGTGGATTTTTAGTCTCCAAGGTAAGAAATATATATCAGTCTTATATAGATGTCTAGGACTGAAATAATCAAAAACATTCTTCTCTGAGAATAAAATAGTTCATGATAAACTAAACTCACTTTGAACTTGAGCAAACATGATAGAAGTCTAAAGGAAAAAAAAAAACCAACAAACCAACAAATAACTAAGGCAGATCTGGCCCTCAGGATGGACCTAACATTTATTGAGACCCCACTGACCTTTGGATGCTTGGATGAGTAGACTTTATCTCTGCATGAAGGTTTGAAAACACAATGGTTTATACATGAGGGCTTGTTGTCTGACTGCTTTAAATGTGGAAGGTTTTTTCCGTGGTGGGATTTCTTCCCACTTTTAATTTTTGAAGTTTGAGAAACAGAGGGCTGACTTCAACTGCCTTTCCCGCCC